CTTTAAGAACGTCATTGTCGTCCAAGTGCAAGGACAACCCTCAGCTCTGTGACACTCACATAGAAATCTTGCCGGTACTCGATGTCAGGAAGGTCTTCGTTCGCATCCTTCTCTATTGTCCGCCCGTCATCTGGAACATGGACTTCTCTCGGAAAACCAGTATCGCTTCAGACGCACTGGATAACCGACAACATTATCTTCGCTGCTCGCTAACTGAAAAAAGTGCCAGGAAGTGCGGACAAGTTTCTACACTACCTTTGTAGACCGTACGAAGGTCTTCGATACAGTGCATCTCTTTAGACTCTGAAGGAACATGCAGAAAATCGGATGTCCGAAGCGCTTCGCGTCCGCGGTACGCCCACTACACGACGCGGAACGATAATGCCCATCGCGGACAGTGGGATCGTCTCGGAAGCATTTCCAATAACCAACGAAGTAAAGCAGGGCTGCTTACCCGTCTCCAGCCTCTTCAGCCTCATGTTCTCCGCTACGCTGATGGACCCCCATCGTGAAGAACGTTAAGGAAGCAATATTACCTACCGGCTGGACGGGAACTGCTTAGCACATACAAACACACTCACGTCAATCCCAGAGCAGCACGTAATGCAGCGATGGAAACCGCCATGCAAAGGCTGCGCCAACTTCGGACTGATCATCAACCCCGAGAAGACGGTGATCACGCATCAACCGGCGCCGGACACGGATTACAGAAAGCCTACATCATCATCAGGGGGACTTAAATCGCCACTATGAACGAATTCGCATGCCTAGGCAGTGCAATTTCACGAAATGTCAGGATAGACGACAGAGTATTCCAGTGAATCTCAAACTCCAGCCAGGCCTTTGGCCAGCTACCTATCTCCGTCTGGAATCGTCCGGGATTTTGACAGAACAACAATCTCAAGATGTGGAGGACGTTAGTGCTGATGAAGTTACTCATAGTGGCGGGTACCTGGACCGTCTGCGTGAACCCATCAAGCTAACTGAACCCCTTCCACCTCAGCCGCCTCCACAGAACGCTAAAGTTGAGATGGCAGGACTGGATTCCGGACATGGAAATCCTCCAACTGACCGGAATCCGGAGCGTCCACGCCATTCTGAGGCAACCGCAGATGCGCTGGAGCGGCCACCTCGCGAGGATGGTTGACGAGCATGTACGCAAGCGACTCTCCTACAGCGACGTCGTTACAGGTGCCCTCCGACATGGAGGGCAAATAAATCGGGACACATAAGATAACATCGCCCTGGCTCGATCAGACCGAAAAGATGGACAAAAACTGGAGTAGCAGTTTACAAAGCCCACAGAGTTGTCGTCATCAACACCAAAATAGATGCTCACAGGTTGCAAAAACCTCAGACCCTAAGCCCCAACACTCCCCCACCTCAAACATGTCGGCGCTGACGCCAGGTATTCCGCGCATAATGATAGGGGGCGCTCACCGATCGTTCTTATATAACTCACTTGTTCCGTTGTGCCTTACGGGCTCTCTCTCGAGCTCAACCAGCAGCCGCACAGCGACGCATGATGTAGACAGTATATTAGTGCCGGCATGCTCCGCTATGCAACTGCTGTTTGGGCTCGAGAGAGAGCCCGTAAGGTACAACGGAACGAGCGAGTTCCGTAAGAACGATCGGTGAACATCCCCTATCATTGTGTATGCCTGATCGAAATCGACAGGGCAACGGGCTGGTGCCCCAATGGTTAGAGGCGTGGACTTCTAACTAACAGGTCGCGAGTTCGAGCCTCGGGTGATCCACACTTCGGGGTAGGGTATGACTGGCTGCAGGTCTCCCTTATCTTTGTCGATAATAACATATTCCGCGCATAGTTCGGCCTAGTCGGACATCTCCGGACCCAATGCAATAATAGCACGGCAACTCCACCCACTACTTCCACAACTCCACCTCCCTGTCGGGACCATCACAACGCCCGCAACGGCGATCACCACTGCCGGCGGACAGAATCCCGACGCCTCAACACCGTCGCCATGGCCGTCCACCACCACCACCACCACCACCACCACCACCACCACCACCACCACCACCACAGGCAACATTACTGTCCCAATCCTCGCGACGA